AGGAAAATATCTTCAGGAGAGCCTTGTAAAGAAAAATTAGGAAACCTAGAAACCCTAAAGAAATACATACAGATTTGACCAAATCAAATAATTTTTAAATACTTAAAGCTCATTAAAAAACAAAAACAAAGAACCCTGAGAAAACAAAAGGCAAACTAGGAAAAAATATTTCAACACCTAGCCCTTACACAGCTGCCACAAGTAAGAACGTGACAACTAACAGAAAAGATGGACAAAGTAATACCAGTTAATCCGCAGAAAAATAAATGTAAATGGCCCAAAACATGAAAAGGCAGACACTGTCCCTGCAGAGAGGAAAATGTGGGTTAACGCGATGAGATCCCACTTCCAATCTCGCAGAGTGGTAAATATGCAGTCAGTGGTATGGCCCTTTCGTATACTGCTAGCAGAGGGGGATTACTGCAATATGGGGGGAGCAATTTGGCAATTTCTGATACAATTTATTTGCAAATGCTTTGACTCACCAGCAATTCCATCCCCCCACCAAAAGCAGCCCTATTTTGCATGTAATTGTATCATTAGAAACACATGAATGTCCATTAATGGCATACCACGATCTTCTATGAAACCTTTAAAAGCATCCAGTTAGATCAATATGTATTGATTATAAGATGACCATGACACATTGACATGAGTGCAGCATGTTTTCTACTGTGCAACTCCATTTGGAAAGAGTGGGGAAGGGAGGAGAAAATTGAAAACTATTGATCTAAAGCTTGGACAAGGTATGTGGGGGGATATATCAAACAGCTAACCTTGGTCACTTGGAGAGGACTTAAGGATTCCCTGATTAATCTTTGTATTTTATTTTTATTTTTATTTTTATTTATTTTTAAAGATTTTATTTATTTGACAGAGAGAGACACAGCGAGAGAGGGAACATAAGCAGGGGGAGTGGGAGAGGAAGAAGCAGGCTTCCCGCTGAGCAGGGAGCCCGACACGGGGCTCGATCCCAGGACCCTGGGATCATGACCTGAGCCAAAGGCAGACACTTAATGACTGAGCCACCCAGGCGCCCCTCATCTTTGTATTTTAAAAGCATATAATTTTAAATATTTTTAAGAAATTAGCAACAGCAGTTTACTGAGAATAATTTGCTATTTCAGGTGTACCTGAGAACCAAGTATATTTAGTGATTAATACTTTCAGAAATCCATTGTCAGTCACTACCCCTTTGGGAAGTATGGTTGGGATACTGGCATTTGGCATCACTTTATTGGCTCAATCTTTAGAAACCTCATGAATGAAGGTCCACAGTGACACAAATATAGAGGTAGTGAATGCAGGGAAAACTATGCTTTCACTGGATTCAGCAGTCACGTAGTATATTAGCTTCTAGAATGTGGTGGGGTGGGGGGGGAGAAGAGAAGACTATTAGCTCTGTAACTCTTTTCCCACTGCTTTTGTTTTTTTCTCCAAAACTAAAGAAAAGTTTTGTTTGGAAATACCAATGTATCTACCATTAGCCTAGCTTCTCATTTAGAACTGCATCCACCTCTATAGACTCTACTGAGAAGGAAAATAAGATTTGGATCATCTTTATGCACAGCATCGATCTGTCTTCCTTAGAGACTTCTTGGTCTGATTTTCTTTTATTTTTGTCAAAATTATACATACATAATGGTTTTTATTGAAACAACTTTACTGAAGTATAATTTATATACCATAAAATTCACCTGTTTTAAGAATACAATTTGGTGATTTAGTAAATTTATGGAACTGTACAACCATCACCATAATCCAGTTTTAGGACATTTCCATCACCCCATAAAAGTTCTTTGTGCCAGGGGCGCCTGGGTGGCTTAGTCAGTTAAGTGTCTGACTTCGGTTCAGGTCATGATCTCAGGGTCCTGGGATTGAGCCCCACATTGGGCTCCCTGCTCAGTGGGGAGTCTGCTTGTTCCTCTGCCCCTCCCCCAGCTCGTGCTCTTGCTCCCCTCTCTGTCTCAAATAAAATCTTTTTTTTTAAAGATTTTTTTATTTGTCAGAGAGAGAGAGAGACAGCACAAGCAGGGGGAGCAGCAGAGGGAGAGGGAGAAGCAGGCTCCTCACTGAGCAGGGAGCCCGACATGGGGCCCGATCCCAGGACCCTGGGATCATGACCTGAGCCGAAAGCAGACGCTTAACGACTGAGCCACCCAGGCGTCCCTCAAATATATAAAATCTTAAAAAATTATTTGTGCCCATTTGCAGTCACTCCCCATTTCCACCCCCAACCTCACAAACCCGCTCTCTGTCTCAATAAAAATGCCTTTTCTGGACATTACATGTAAATGAAATCATGGAATATGCATGCAGTCTTCTGCATCTGGCTGTTTTCGTTTAATGTAATGTTATGAGGATATACCAGGGACTTCATCCTTTTTTAGTGCTGAACAGTAGCCCATTATATGGATATAGCACCTTTTCTTCATTCATCTTTTCAGCATTTGTAAGTCTGTGTGGACATATCTTCATTTCTCTTGGCTAGTCACCTAGGACTGGAGTTTCTAGACCATATTGTACATTTATAATTAATTTTTAAAAGAAACTTCCAAAATGCACCAGTTTACACTCCTACCATCAATGTATAAATGTTTCTCCATATCCTCGTCAATACCTGTAATAATGTGTCTTTTTGATTGTAGCCATTCTAATTGGTGTGAAGGGTTGTGTTGTTTTAATTTGCATTTTCCTAATGTGACTAATAATGTTGCAACATCTTTTCTTGGTCATTTGCATACCTTTGGTGAAGTGTCTATTCAAATATTTTGCCCATTTTTGAAGTAGGTAATTTTCTTTTTAATTATAGCAGATCACTGTATATCATTATATATCCTGGATACAAGTTCTTTATCAGATACAGACTTTGCAAATATTTTCTCCCTATCTGTGGCTTGCTATTTCATTTTCTTAGTGGTATCTTTTGAAATATAAAAGTTCTAAATATTGATCAAGTCCAATTTATCAATTTTTTCACTTATAGATTGCATTTTCACTATCATGTTTAAGAAGTCTTCTGCCTAACCCAAGGTCATGTATGCTGTCTAGAGGTCACTCACTTTAGATCCAAAAATACAAGTAGGTTGAAAGTGGAAGAATGGAAAAAGGCTAATATCATACAAAATAGACTAAATCAAAAACTATCACAACAAAGGACTTTATGTATTGATAAAAAAGTCAAGTCATTAAGAGATGTAATAATTATATACTCACCAAACAACAGAGCCCTCAGATAAATGAAGCAAACATTGTTGGATTTGAGGGGAGAAATATTTCTATGATAATAGTTGGAGTCTTCAATACCCCACTTTCAGTAATTCATAGAACATTTAGATACAAGATCAATAAGGAAATCGAGAACTTAAACAACATTATAAACCAGCCAGACTTAACAGACATTCATGGAACCCTTTACCCCAAAATAATGGAATACATATTCTTTTCAAGTGCACATGGGATATTCTCCAAGAAAGACCATATGGATAGGTCACAAAACAAGCCTAAGAGTTAAAAATATTGAAATCCTACAAACTATCTTCTTTGATGGCAATGGCATGATGCTAAAAATCCATAACAGAAGGAAAACTGGAAAATTCACAAACAGTGGAAATTTTAAAACACACTTTTAATCAGTGGGTCAAGGAAGAAATCATAAGGGAAATCAGCAAACACTTAAAGATGAATGACAACAAAAGCACAACATAGTAAAACCATGGGAAGCTGCAAACATGGGCAGCGCTCCACAGGAAACTGAAAGCAGTAAAAAGTCTCACATCAACAACCCACCTTTACACCTTAAGGAGCTAAAAAAAAGCAACCTAAACCCAAAACCAGTAAAAGGAAGGAAATAATAAAGATGAGTGAAGAGGAACAAAATAGAGACTAGAAAGCAACAGAGAAAATCAGTGAAACCGAAAGTTGGTTATTTTTATTTTCTGTGTTTTCATGTGTGAGGCCACACATAGACCCTTGCATTTGAGAGGTTTCTGGTCCTTTGATGATTTCCTCTCTTCTGTCTCTAGAATGCTTATTAGTCAGATGATGGACCCCCTGATTTATTATTCTATGTCTCTTTTTTTTTATTTTTAAAAAGATTTATTTATTTAAGAGAGAGAATGAGAGAGAGAGCACTTGAGCAGGGGGAGTAGCAGAAGGGGAGCAGGGAGGAAGGGAAAAGAAAGGGGAAAGAATCTCAAGCAGATTTTGCTCTGGGTGTGGAGCCTGATGCGGGGTTTGATCTCATGACCCGAGCAGAAACCAAGAGTCAGACACTTAACCGAATGAGCCACCCAGGTGCCCCTCTGTGTCTCTTTTAAAGCAATAATCTTCTTTGCCTTTCTATCCATATAAAGTTTTTCAACTGGTAGGCTTCACTTTGGGGTGTTGAGTAGGGAACCAACTTGTATGTTGGAGGGCTACTAGGGGTCAGAATGTAGGAATCTTTTCTTTGGGATCATTCATTTCTTTAGAAAAGACCCTCTAGCTTTTTGCCTGGGGAATTGATGCCCAGTTGTTCGGATAGGGATATTAACTCTCTCTGTACAGACTTTCAATTAATCCTTTTTGTTTTTTACCAGTCTCATAGCTCACTACAGCCCTAAGCCATATCTGGTTTTCCACATCCAGAGCATCTGTAGGGTCTGTGGTGCTGGCAGTCTTCCTTCTTGGCTACATCCCCAGGTTCTTCTTTTTCTTTTTCTTTTTTCCAACAGTGAGTGATGCAGTTATTGAGCAGATTATATTCTTACTTGTCCCCCGTACAACAATTGGATTAAATGTAAGATGGTTTGTCAGCACCAGCAATGAGACTGGTGTTGGGGCTGGTGTGAGAACAGATGACAAGTTCTCTTAAACTTGACTCTTGATTCCCTGCCCTAGGCTGATCACCCTCATTCTGAAAAGAATTTGCAACATGTAAATATTTCAGGATTATAGCCATCTGGATACACACTTAAGTCAGAAGTAGTTCTGTTATTATTTTAATCTAAAGGAGTCACCTAAGAATTCCAAATGTTTTGTTCGAATGCCATCGTTATTTTAAATTTAAAAGGTTTTCTTCCAAAGCTGCCTCTCTTCACAACAGTAGAACTCTGGCAGTGAATTTAGTGGTCTAGGATTTGATGAAACTGTGGCTAATTTCTGGTCCCAATCTGAAATTTAAAACAAATTAATGGTTTATTTTAAGACCATTTACTCCTAAATTTTAACATACTGTCAACAATAATTGTGTGCAATAACAAAACAATTTGGCGGATTTAAGACAAAAGAATATATGTAAAAGATGTGGGAGTAAAGGACTTGTCAAAAGGTTATTTCTGTGTTTCAATCTCTGATCAAGAGGCCTATTGCTCTATTATGCCCAAAAGTAAATGAAATTAAATCAATCATATAAATTTGCATTTTGACATCCTAATTTTAGACCCCCAGACTATTTAAACCCTACATTATTTACAGGCCACTTTGTATGATGTTTGTGTCAAACGTCAGTTGTTACCATCCCTAAATTCATACCCACTGGAGTTCCCTTGTATTTTATAACCTCTTATCTACAATAACGGACAGTTCTGCTTGTCCAAAGCTGAGCTTTCGAGGAGAGCTGGGGGTTAAATACATCAATCGTCTTGATGAACCAAAGAGCAGCATTTCGGTGATAGCATTGTAACACAATTATCTTATGTGTAGCGTTGTGCACTGTGTTTGGTGTTTTACTTACATTAATATCCACAGTAATTCTCACAGACTCACTCACTGATGGTGTCACCATCTCAGAGAGATTAATGAACTAGCCCAAGTTCATAGGATTATGAGGGGACCTGACGCAGGAGTATCTGGCCCCAAAGTCCCTGATCTTTTCCCTGCTCTCCTCCACCTGCCACAGCACATCAAGAGCATTGAAAGATACAAACATTTCTTGATATTAAGAATGGATAACATTTCATCGAACCCAGGAGTAGGACCAGAAATGCCATCCCTGGAAGGATTTTTTAAATCTAATTTAGTAAAGTGTGTACCTGTCTGTAGCAAGCAACAATTTGACTTTCCAAGGCTTATGGTGGGGTTCAAATAGCAACTTGGACCTTCTGGAGGGTTACATTGTGTTCCAGGGAAATATACAAGTGGTTTAGGAGTGTGAGGAATCCCACTCACCAGCCTTAGTGATCCTTGTTGTCAGAGTTGCCGTGGAGTGGAATGACCCACTCAGTTAATGAGGCAAATTCAACAAACTTCTGGGGCATTCCTTCTGAGTCTCCATGCCCACAGACAGTGGATGCTATCAAGCCTGAAATATGCTATGCATATTTGGGGGTGGGGAATACTATTGAAAGGACATGTGAAATGATTTTTGGGATTTCCTTACCATTTGATAAAGTGAAATTATTGTTCATGTGGAATTGTGGGGGTGACTTCTTTGAAAGTCATCATTTAGTAAAAATAAAATGAATAATTAATTGAGAACTACAGACAAAATGTAACCAGCTTGCTGAATCCCATTTATTCCAGCTACTTTAATAATTTAATATCATTTAATATTATCACTTTGAACCATTTAAGAGATTTGCAAGGACAACTTTGATTATATGTAATTACTACCTTATGCACTGATTTTAGAACTTAATCCCTGTATAAGATACAATTCCATTGCATTAGGTTTTTTGTTTGTTTTGTTTGTTTGTTTTTTACAAGTATTTATTATGGCACATGCTGATTCTTTGATCAGTTGTAATAGCTATTATAGCTTTGAAGGCTTATAAATGTTACCTACAAGCAGAATGCTAAAGTCTTTATATGGATGTCTCAGTTTTGTTAGGTAGATACTATTTTTAATCCTTTATGCAGATGAGAGAACTGAAGGTCAGAGAGTCTAAGGGTCACACTGCTATTGAGAGCATATGTTTTATTTTTGAAGAATGAGTTCTTTTAAGTATTTGGCTCCAGGGTGAGTAATACAAGGGAAACTTTTGTCTGAGGGGCCATCCTATCCTCCTAAGCTGTAAGTTCTCTGAGGATGGAGTCTTCATATCTTACACTGTGTCTTGCACATAGTCTGTGCTTAATAAATGTTTCCTAAATAAATGAATGAACCCCTATGTGCTGAGAAGGAATTTTTACTGAAGAAGAATTTCTTGAGTGATAACTGTGATCTATCACGATCTATATTTAATCTGTTTCTCACCAATTCCTAAAAAGAAATAAGAACTGAACATGAAATGCAAATTAGTGCTAATTGAGACATAAGCCCTGCCCTTAAAATCTGATCACAAATGCTGGTCAAATGGTCAAGAGAAAAAAACCCCACACTTTGATACACAACTTACTATCCATCTTATTTTGTGAGAAGCCCTTCCCCCAGACTCCTTCAAGGAGTCAGTTTCTTGATTCAAACAAACGCTTGAGTCAGCCCCTGCTGTGTTCTCTCTCAGTGCTCAGATTTATGACCTCTCTCTGCTGGGTCTCTTGCAGACCAGCCTTTGCCTGCCAGATTGTTGTTTACAAAATAATCGCCAACCAAGTATTTCTCAAATCCATCCAGTTCTCTACTGCTACCAGCGATCATCACTTGCCAAAACCACTGCTTCCTAAACTTGGCTGCATGGTGGAATAACCTGGGGAGTTTTTTAAGTTACTGATGCCTGGGACCACCCCCTCCCACCGGGAGATCCTGGTTTGATTGGTCTGGGTCTGTCCTGGGCCTGGATTGCTAAAAGTGATGTCACCAAGGTTAAGAACATTTAGCCTAACCACTGCCATGGCTCCTGACTCACCATATTTAATTTCTGTCCCACCCAACTCCCCACCCTGCCTCCTTTTCCTTCTCCACAGTTAGAGCAATCTTTCCAAAATGCACTTTTTAATCATGGCACATCCACCCTCCTTCAAACTTTTCAATGGTTTCCCATTAATCTCAGGCTAGAGGTGACAGAGCTGAAAATGACCCGTAAACCCTCCCCTTGTTACATCTCTCGAGCCACATCCTGCTCTACCCTTCCTGATTTCTGTGCTTTAGCACATTCGTACTTTTTTTTTAGTTCCTCAAACATGTCATGCCCCTACCACAGGGCTTTTGCACATGCTATACTCTCTGTGAAGCTCTTCCCCACTCCTTGCCTAGTGAACATCTATCTCATTTCCTCAGAGACTTGTTGTCCCTTTCTGACTTGTTAAGTGCTCCTATAGCATCACATAAACTCTGCTTCTTAGCATTTATGGCAGGTGAAATTTTATGCTTATTTCTGTCTTGGTTCCCCACTGAAGCTTCTTGAATGTAGAAATGTGTCTATTTTGCTTGATGTGGTATTGCCAAAACCTTGCACAATGCCTGGCATACAAGTAGGCTCTCAAATTATTTACTGAGAGAATACAGATGAATGAATGAAAATGCTCTTGACAGCAGATCTATCACCAAGCCCAGTTGATGTCACCTCCAAAATATCTCTGGAATCCATTCATTCTTTTTCATCTTCCCTGCTGCTCCAAGCCACCATCATCTCTGTTCTAAACTAGTAAACAGTTTCCTCACTGGCCTGCGTGCCCTACCTCCTGTTCACCTCCAAACAGGGTCTCAGCCAGAGTGATCTTTTAAAAAATACAAATGAGAGCTTTCTCCTCTCTTTGGAACCCTTCCAGATCTTCCTTTGTGCTTGGATTGGAATCTAGGCATCTTACCACGTGTACCCTCGCTGACTACACACCAGCTATGCTGCCCCCTTTCTGTTCCTCAAACGTGTTGAGGCCTTTTCCACTTTCAAGCTTTTTGCTCTTACTGCTCCTTTAAATGCTCTTTATGTGTCTCATTACTATTTTCCAGGGCTCAGCTAAAATTGTATAGAGGTTTTCCTTGACTGCACTATTAGAAGTAATCTCCCTTCGCTACACTTAGCACCCTGCTTATTTCCCTTACGGCACTACTACAGCCTATAATTTTAAAAAAAACGTACTTGGTTATGCTCTGTACCTCACCCCCTCCCCAAAGCATGTCAGCTCTGTGAGAGCAGGTATCTTGTCTACCCCCACCAGACAGCACAGTGGCTAGTTCATAATGGTGTCAATGAGCGAATCGTCTTACGGTTGCCAGCTTCCAAGATGGACCCCAGTCATTCTCACCCCCTGGTATCCATGCCTTATGTAATCCTCTCGCACACTGCCTCAGGGCTGGCTATGTGTGACCAGTAGGACACCTTAGAAGTGACAGTGTGTGACTTCTGTGCCTAGGTCATAAAAGGCATTGGAATTTCCCCCCTTCACCTCAGATTGCCCATTCTAGGGAGGCTAACTGCCACGCCTGCAGGACACTTGACACCCCTGTGGGGAGCCCACTTGGAGAGGCATGGGGTCCCCTGTCACCAGCCAGCATGTGAGTGACACCCATGTGAATGAGCCACCTTGGAGGTGGGTCTTCCAGCCTTGGTCAAGCCTTCAGATGATGCAGCACTCGCTGACATCTGGCTGATACCTTGAGCCAGAAGTGCCCAGCTAAAAGATAAAAATCATCATCATTTATCTTGTAAGTCACTAGGTTTTGGAATGATACATTACTCCACAAGAGATAACTAATACACACTCATCAGTGGTTCAATGAATGGAGCAGTGAATATTTCAACATAAATTACCTCTTGAATTGGTCAGGCTTCAAATCTCACCGAGGAAGGGACTGTCTGACCCTGTTCCTGTCTTAGGTTTCCTGCCTGCACTTTCCAGCACCTTATTCTCAGTCATCTACAGACGCCAACTTAACACCTCTTCTGCTGAAAACCGTTATCTCTATCACAGGCACCAACAATCCTGCCGTAGAAGTGGAAGTCTGAGCTTTAATTTCACTCTCATGAATTCTCCTTTAATACTGTCCTTTCTCACTCCAAATGCTACGCCACATGAGTTTTCTTCCCACTTCCCATGAATTCTTCTCAGTTCAAAAGCAAGGGTTGGGAACGTGACAAATCTGAATGACCTGGATTGACGACTTACCAGCTTGAGGAAGTTTCCTAAAGTCCCTAAGGCTCAGTTTTCTCTTCTGTTACATGCAGTAAATAATAACAGCTCCTTCACGGGGGCTGTTAAGACTCATTGCAACCACGAGTGTGTACACACGTGTGCATACCACTTAGCACAGTTCTGGGCACAGGACAGCTATTTTAAATCCTAACAGCTATCCTAAAATATAGATTTGAATCTCCACTTTGCTGAGGCACAGACAAGTTCAGAGGAGCTGAGTGTCTTGCCCGCCACTGCAGAGCTAGAATGTGCAAGCCTGCAGCCCCCCAAGGCCTGAGTCCTGCCCATGCTTCCACAGCTCCATCCTGCCTGACTGCCAATGTAGTCTAGTTGTGTCTTCTCGAACCTGTCCTGAGCAGGCCAACTGACTGACAGCCTCTGAAACTGCCTGGGTTCTCCCTTGACTGGGTCCTAAGATGGCTCTGATTGTCCAAATCCAACTTTCCAGACTCCCTCCTTGAATGCCTCTTCAGTTCCAGCCATTCTGTTCTACTCTGCCAACCACATGTGACCCCCACTTCCTCCTCCTCCTGCCCAGCCCAGGCAGGCCAGTGTCCTCATGTCTGGAGTGCTCCCTGCTCCCCCACACTCCACAAGGCTCAACCCCATCCCCTGCCACCATGCTTCTGGCTGCAGTGTCCCTGACTGCTGTGTGCACCACTTCTCTGCATCGGACCTCATCCAGCGGGACCCAGCTTGGGTCCCATGGCTGCATGTTCTCGACCCCATCTTCCTGCTCTGCTAGTTGCTTCTTAATCATTCACTGATAGGCTGATGGTTGCTTCATCTTCCCGATCAGACTGGGAACTCCCCATGGCTGAGGTCAGAGCCCCGACTTGCATTCACCTCCTCCCATGGTACCCAGCACAGTGCTAGGGACACAGAAGATGATAAATATCAAACTACTTTGCTAAACACTCACCTGGTTCTCTTGGTTTGGAAAGACTTAGGAACTGTTGTCTAAAACAAGCCAGGGAGAAAACCTTTTGTGTCTAACTGGATTCCCTCATAGCAGAGGAATTGTAAAGAAGGTCCTGTTTACTATCACTTTGGTAACTCAAGGCCCACGCAGATTCCCACATGGGAGGGAAACCGACTTCATACTTGGTCAGTCTTGAAAAGGCAAGCTGCTTAGCCGGTTCTGTGGGGACAGGAGCCCCGCTGACACCTCCTGACCGCCTCTTCTTTTCAGCTGCTCAGCCCCTGATGGCTTCTGTCTCCCCCAGGCCTCATCCTTCAGCCCCTAACCTGCACCCCCACCCACCCCAGCTCCTTTTAATACAGCCCTTCCAGGGCCCCCTGGGGGACCCCAACCTCCACCATGCCTCACTCCCTCCTGGCACCTCCTTCCCTAAATGAGCTCGTCTTAGCTACCAGCTCCTTTCCCCTCAGCTGCCTTCTCAGCTCCAACCTTCTCTCCCCTCCCAGACCCCAGCTTTGCACTGCTGGTAGGTAACCTCTTATGCCAGATGCCTCCCCCCCATATCCGGCCCATCTGGCTTCATCTACTGCCCCCTCTCCGTGGCTCCACTATCTGGAGATTGCCCGGTTCCATCTGCTTCTCATCTTCCTTGCTGTTGTTCCCGGTTCCCTTGGGACCTGGCCTAGCACTCCATCTGGGCTTCTGCCCTTTTCAGGGGAGAACAGAAGGAAGGGCCGATCCTTCTCACCCCCAGCCACTCCCCCCACCGTCCTTCTACTCATTTTCTTATTCTTATTCAAGCAAAAAGAAAGAAAAATATTAAATAAATAGTAGTGCAAGTGACTCAGCTGTGACAAAGGCAGTAAGGCTTAAGGGTCAAGCACAGAACCCTATGTCTCAAATAGCTTTGGTCTGAATTCTGCTTCTCCTACCTACTGCACTGTGATCTGGGGCTGCTTAATTAATTGTCTCTGCAACTTGATCTTCTTTATTGTAAAATGGGAAAGTAATATACTTACCTAAGAGCCCTTAGGAGGACAAAATATGTATCTGCCACAGTGTAAGAGCCCCAGAAATAGTGGGGTTTACTCATTTAGAAAGTCTGTCAATGCAGCAACTCCTCCCACTTGCTGAAATTCAAAGCATCAATGACAACAGGAATACAAGTAATGTCTACATCAGTGTCCATGTGTGTACCCCCAAGGTCACATGGCGGGGGCTTGGCCCTTCATACTCACACATGTTGCAATGTAGAGGGAAATTAGAATTTTTGAAACATGCCTCCAAATGTCAAATAATTGTCATAAAGCTATTTAAAATGGGAGAATAAGAAAGAAAAAAAGTTCCCTTAACAATACGTTTAGGCACAATAAGGAATCTGTTGAGTAACAAGGGGCTCAATGAGAAGTAGTCACACTTGAGCCAGCTTCCTACCAAGGACATTTGTGCATTTTTTATCTTTGAATTCTATAGGGAGCTAGAAAGAAGAGGAGAGGAGGAAGCAGCCCTTGGGCCAGCCTCTAAATTCTTCTTCTTGTGCTAGACACACATGAACACCCTCCCCCAACTTGACTGGTCCCTGATGGCAGCGAGCCCACGAGAGAGGCTCATCTGAAGCAAGGTTGATCTCAGAGAGTAAGAGCGGTTGACCTGACTTACCAATCTTGTAAAATGGCAGAGAATAGTCTCTTTGGTAGGTGGTTTCTTTATACCATGGTTCAGTGGGCTTTGAATGTCTTCGGAAACAAATATATCGAATGAGAGTTTCTTGGTCTAGTTGAGGCTGATACTGACTTTTTCTCTTGGGTGGGATTGTCAAGTCTATGAGAGGTCTAAATGAAAATAGAAAGAGCTTGCTGAACACCCAGTAGAAGAAAAGCGTTCCATGTTCTCATCAGCTGAGATCTATTCTCTGGAAGTGACCAGGAGGCAACCGAGATACTATTGGCAAGACTCCATAGCTCCAGGGTCAGCCCAGCAGTTTTCAGTAGGTGGCTCAGGGATTCCAATCCCCTGCTCCCCTACTTTAGCATCCCTCCTCCTCCCCAATCACAGGTTACAGAAGGTGACCTGCATCAAAACTTCCGCTGGGTCTGCTCATGCATGGCTACTTCCTGTACTCCAGATCTCCCAATGCCCTCTCCCATTGTAATTTTTCTATGGACATCTGGTTCCCTCGAGGAATCGATGCTTTCTTTCGACCAGACTTACCCCTTTGGTGTGAACTGGTGTTGGATGAACCTGAAATCAGTTATAACTTTCCTGTACCTCCACTGAGATAACTACCCTCTGAAGGTAAAAATAAAGAAGAATCAAAATGTAATGGGGGAATATCTTAATGCACTTGCGGGAGTACACATTCACTGGGCAACTTGTTGGAGAGTACTTTGGTGATGAGGATTGCTATCTTTAAAAAATGCATATACCTTGTTGCAGCAACTCCAGAAAGTAGGGATATCAACAAAGACTTAGTTCCTAGAATGCTCACCAAAATATTTAAAGATAATAAAAGAGTGGATACAATCTTCATGTAAAAAAAGGGGGGATTATTTAGAAAATGATATGATCATATACAAGAATGCCCCCCCACCACTAAAAGTGATGCTGTAGAATTATGAATTTTGAGATGGGAAAAAGTCTGCAATACAGAATTAGGTTTAAAAAAAGGTTTGAGTTGGGAGCAAGATGGCAGAGGAGTAGGAGACCTGGATTTCGTCTGGTCTCAGGAATTCAGCTGGATAGGGATCAAAACATTCTGAACACCTACGAACTCAACAGGAGCTCGAAGAAAAGAGTAGCAACAACTCTCTGAACAGAGAAGCGACCACTTTCTGGAAGGTAGGACGTGCGGAGAAGTGAATCCGAGGCGATATTCGGGA